GAAACTATCAAGTTTGATTTTGAGCTTCAGGATTTGTGTAAAAGCTGGCAAGATTTCTGAACAATGGTGGGTCCAATAACAAATTAAGTCAGGGGAAAAAGATTGTTTTTTTTCCTTTTTTTTTTATCTGCCGCCTGTAGTTGAGATTCTTGTTAAATTGCTCCAAGACAGGGTGGCTGACAGGCAGCAGTGTATTTTATTGTGATATTTTTCATATTCAAGCTAAATCTTGAACTGCATACACTGCATATCCTAATCAGTCTAATGGAAATCTCATGAAGCATTCTTCAATCAATCCATCGTCTGATAATATAAAAATATGGCACAAATACACACCGAGGTAGATAGACATGACTATCTACCTAAGCTCAGATCCTAGTCAAAATAAAGAAATAATAACAGAACCAACCAGAGGCCCAGATGGCAACAAAAAAGAGGCCACCAGTCCATCACATGGCAACACAGAGACAAACAGGAGAAGCAACAATGCACACACACTTTTAGAAAGAGCAGCTGATCTAACAGTCATGTTTTCGAACTGTGAGAGAAAACGGTTCGATAAGCACAGGGAGAACATGCTAACAACCACAGGCCGAGTTTTGAACCCAGGATATCTTTGGTGCAAGGCAACAGTTCCACCAACAGCAGCCATAACATGTTAAGCCATACTTCCAAAAAGAGTTTTTCGCTTAAAAGCTTAAATGAGTATCAGCAAAGAACAAAGTTCTTTCTATGAATACTGGAAACCATCCTCAGTGCTTCCCACAGCGGCTCGGGAACCAGTGAGAACGGAGGGGGGGAGGAGTGACTGAAAAGGCCAAATATTCATGTAAATTTAAACAAAGATTTAAAATTTTAACATTTTCCCGTCTTGTTTGAAGACAAGTGACATGAAAAGTCACTTGTTTTCAAAGTGACTTTTCACGAAGTGCTGCATCATCTACAGGGACGCCAGAGGTTATTTACTGGAAGCAAAGGAAAGAGAGTCATGTTCCAAAAAACAACTTAACAATCCCACAAATTTTAAACGACATTGTGAGACTGAAAAATTCAGATGGAGTGCAAAACCATAACTACAGTGTCAGGATGCCTCACAGCTAAATTCTGTTGCAAAGAATATAAATATGATATTTGCTCCTGCTGATAATTTACCAACACTATGTTGTGGAAAAAAAAATCAATTGTTAGGTGAAAATCACTGTCAGCTTTATCTTATACCATGTGGACGATATGAGATCATGATCAAAAACTCATAAACAGGTCAAATTAAAGCTCCAACTGAAGCTCAGAGTCTGTGTGGGTTCTGTCAACAGCCACACATCAGTTTTATGTGGAGGACAAAAAAATCCTAAACACTGGAGGCAGTCTGGCTCCTGAGCAGCTGCAGAAAGCAATATGTAACCTTGAGCGTGAAGCCCAGAGAGGTTCATAAGCACTTAGAATAAAGACATAACATGACCATCAGATTATTAAAGTCATAATGACATAAACTTATAATTAAGTGTCCCAGTGTAATTCCAAAACATTGTGAGAAGAGAAACATCAAGGAAATTATAAAACAAAAACACAACTAAATAACCAGATTAAAAATAACAACCTTTCTCCAGGTATTAAACATAGTCTTCTTTAAGCTGACATGTACATGTTTTTTTATTATTATTATTGAACTGATAAAGAATTGTAATCTTAAATCTCATGTTTTCATTAGCTTTATTTTTAACCATTAACTATTATGTCAAAAAATGAATGCAACACAGGTAGGATGGGGTGCAAAATGTAAATAAAATGACTATATGATTTTGAGGAAGATTTTAAACTGTTCTAAATCTTTTTGATTAAACTCAAAGGAATCATCTTCAAGTCAGTCAGTGTTTGAAAATAACTGATGTATAAACATTTTTTTTAAATTATAGATTGCTTATTATGGCATTTCTGTAGTCAGATTTTTTTTTCTTTTTTTAGGAAAAAATAAACAAAACCATGACTCCTAATACCGGAGCTAACCAGATTGTGGATTTTGTGAAACGTTCCACCACAAGTTTACTTATGAGTCTTTGTAGATACATTTGAATAGATTGCTTTCCTGTCAAAGAATGATAAAATGGCTTTCCAAAAACCTTTAGGCTTTTCTTCAGTCTTTGAAGAAACTAGTCATAGATGCATAAGTTGATCCAGTAATCACTTTACCTCTTAAAGACTGCAGCTGACAAAATGCCAGGTGGGTTTAATCGGAATAGAAGAAATGCGTTCTGATTAAACTTCCTTCAGATTCTAAAACAACTACACAATTTGCATCATCTTTGAAAGGTGCGTCAATAAATTAAACTGCTAAAAAAGTGCAGTTTTCTGTGAAAGACACTAAAATACAAGAAATGTAAAACATCACAAGTAGGTGAAATAAGCTGGAGTCTGCTACCTCCTTTTCAGATTTAATGCGTTTTAAATTGCGCTCTTCCTCTGCAGTGCTTTCAAGCAGCCAACTGAAGAATTACAACCACCATCTGTTCGTGTTGATGTACATTAATTCACATTTTCTCTTTCACATTTTTGGCAATCTGCATTAAAACTCACTCTGTGTTTCTAAATGTGGCTAATTTACCTTTGGGTCTGCTTCAGTTTATGTAGTGTCATGTTACTGTTGCATGAAGTCATTTTAAGTCTGAACTTGTGTGTTCGCAGATGGAAATGGTCACTTTAGAGGGCTTTTCCCAATGCAGACAAGCGCTGGTGTTATATAGCTGACCAGAGCTTGAACATGCAAGGTAGTTTTGATTTTTAGAATGTTTTAGTACAACAGCACTGTTTTTTAAATTAAATATTGTTGAACAAGGTGTCAAAATGACTAAAATGAGTGAGTTGTAAACTCATCTGACATTGTGTTGACATTAAATGTTTCATGAATTATTCATATTAAGAAGTCATTGTCTCTGCACAAGCAGTTTTTGAGGCAAGAATAAAGGAGCCAGCTGACCGCCATGCTGATACACGAGATAATGTTCCCATTGATATTTTGCATGTCTCAGTACACAGCTAGTGCCTAATTATGGAAGCATAATAGCGTTTGCTCTGCTGTTTTTCTTGTTTAATTAATCTTTTGACTGAGCGTTGATGAAGCCTTGTTCATTTTGCTTTTATCTAATGTGTTGTTCACAGTATGAAAACAGCATAGCATAAATGTTTGAGTGAGGAAGATATTAATGCTCAAACACATTTGATGTAAAATTAGAAATGGCTGAATGTAGGTATTATTATTAGATCATTACAAGAGGCAGGACTGCTGACTTAATGCATTGGAGTAAGCTTTCTTATCAGGTACTCTAATTCACTCATACAGATGTTTATGTTGGAATGTAGTAGGTGTGGTACTACAAGCTAGTTCTTCACTGCTGATTACCATCAATATTATAAAGTGAACCAGTTCTTCATGCAGCAAACTCCAACGGGACATGATGCTGCCACAATTAAGATGGTGTTCTCAGAATTAGAACCTTTTTCCTTTGTTCTGCAAATATGAAGACGGCAATTATTATTTGAACATTTCAAATTTAGTTTCATCACATAAATGTCATTCTTTTTTACTCAGTGCATTTGTAGAATAATATCATCTGCTTGCTTGTGATGAAATGGCTTCTTCTTCTCTGAGTGGTCTTTCAGCCCATGTTAGTAAGAGGGCTTGCTTCACTGAATATAAATGCACTGCCAGTACAAGTCAACATCTCACAAGGCCTTTTTTGTTCTGGGTTTGCTTCACACATTTTGCACCAAAAACACATTCATCTTTTGGACTCCGTCTATTCCCTGATGGGGCCGATGGCTCCATATTTCCATCATGTTTATACTCGTACGTAATTGTTTGACCAGATGAAGGCGGCACCAGCTGAAAATTGTACCCAAGGATGAATCAGACTTGTGGAGCTGCACAATTCCCTTCCTGCCATGTTGCTGGATTTCTTTTGATTTTTGCAAGATATATTTTTTTTATTTATGAACCTAACTACAGTATGCTTTTTTTTTGTTTGTTTGTTTGTTTCATGACATAGTGTTGTCCATTTCGGTTTTTAAGACCCAAACCAGTTTTAATCACAACTTTTTGTGTGAATTGAGGGCTATAATATAAAAAAGTAATTTAAGTGAATATTTTTTGATGCCACAAAAATATATAATCTTCACCAAAGAACATTTAAAGAACATCATGCACTTCCACCAAAGACTAACATTAATGCAACATAATCCTTTGTGTTGTCCAGCGCTTCTGCCTTTTCCAATTTTTATTTTTGAAAAATCAGAGCTGTATGGGAGCTCTACTAGTGATTTCTGAGTGACCCGAGGCAGCTTGTCTTTAGCTTGTCTTTGCTCGTTTGTGTGAGGAATGCTTTGTGAAAGCCACACTTTTTCCTTCCACCAAACTTTATTAATTTGCTTGGATACAAGACTGTAACCAGTATCTTCTTTAACAATGACCTAACCGTGACTCTCTGCTGAACAACTGTCAAGTCAGCAGTCTTCCCGATAAGATTAAAAACATGTGGTAAATTAGACTTTCACTTTTCAAATTGGTTTAAAATCACATTTAAATGATGAACTACTTATTGTCAAGCCAGGACTTGACATCTTTTAGAGGGTATTTTAATGCCTTTTCAAATTAAACTTTTTGTTATTTTTGCTTACACAGATCAGTGTGTAGATCATGGTTCAGAAATGAGAGGAAAGGGATTTTACCACAGTCTGCATGTTCAGCATTTTACACTGAAACGTTGATTTCTATGCTTCTCCTCCTCCAACTGGCAAACTATTGAATGACACCTTTTACAGAAGAGCTGCCAGAAGTTTTGGACACATAGCCGACATTTATTTGTCCCATTTCATGCAAACACCACTTGCCAAAAATTCTTATTTGTCCGAAGAGCATGTCGGGGCTGGGCTAAATGAATTGGATTTGCCTGGGGAGGACTGGGGAAGCTCGGAAGCAGCATTATTTCTTTGCTCTTCACTAACTCACGAACGCGCCTCGCCTCATTACCGCAAGGTGGGATAGAGTAGGTGCAAAGCGTTTGTCGGCACCAGCTGGAACAACGGAACAGTGTCGCCTGATCGCTGTTCGCGCGCACCAAGCGAACTGTTCGGCTACATCCGGCGAACCGGGCACGTCCAGAGGGCGGGCTTCGCCTGCCGTAGTCAAAAAGGGTCCCGCTTCGACTGGCTGCTCTCATTGCAGTCCAGTCTGCCGAGCGGAGCACAGCGGAGCGGACTGACAGAGAAACCAGACCCGGCTCCATTCAAGGATTTTTTTTTTTTTTTTTTTTTTTTTTAAACCTCCTACAGTTCGTCCTACAACACAGGACCGATAAGGACTCGCACCTCGCCTTCCGTGGAAAATGTTCCTCTTGCAGTACACGGGTACATTATTTTCCAAGTTTCATCCTACTCTCGCTGGCTGTTTTCCTTCGGTGTCCTCTTCCCGTGCTGTGTTGATAACGGGGGGGTGTTATTGTCACACTGCTGCAGGCTACAGCGTGTGTCACTGCGCGCCTCTCACCGCAGCGTTTCGGGACATTTATGTGCGCATCTTTGTTATTTTGGTGTAAGTTATAACTGCGAGCCAGAGGATTCACTTGCCCGAAGTGGTCGGGCGTTTTCCAGCTGTTGAGACCGCAATGCAAGAGAGCAGGGCAGCCTCTCGGTCTCAGCGTGGCTGCGCTGTTATTTCTCTTCTCTTTGGGGCTTTTTGATGTGGAATGATCTGATTTATGATGGTAGATAATCATGAAAATGTCCCCACTCGCATTATCTCAACCGTCTCCAGCTGCTGATTTTGAATGGAAGTTTTAGGAAATGACGCCTGATCTCTGCTGTAAGATGTTGCATATTTCTCACCTCCCGTGGGGATCCTGTTTCTGAGAGGCTGCATTAGTACATCATGATCGACCTCGGTTAGGCACATTAAAGTAGACAGGCCCATCTTACAGGGAGTTCTTTGCTTCATAAATACAAGGACTTTGGTTGGTTTTGTTGTGGGATATCCGTGTCATTTATTCCTGAATCACCACAGCTCCATAAGTAGCTCCCTTTTTAAAAAAATGGGTCATTTTCTCTGGACTCCCAGGATCTAATTAAGCGAGGATGATGTTTTTGAACTCTGGCATTAACCTGCTTACTCTGCTTTATTCTGGCACTCTGTTCTGCAGCTTGCTCTGTTTATGGTCATGGTAAATTTAACTCAGATGTCCCACCGCTTTTCTTTATTCCTATGTTGTTTATTTATTTGGCTGTTGTTTTGTGTGCTCGCAGTGTAATTACTGCCTTCCTTAAGCTCATAAAAGCAAAGCCTTGTCAAAGAAAAGTCTCACGGCTATAATTTCCCACTTCTTTTACTGCATCACTAATTAGCCCTTATATATTCTCATCCTTTTGAGCATTTAGAAATTTACTTCTCATTTCTCAGCCAAGAGCAACGATCAACTCAAACCACCTGCAGTAAAAATATAAATGAAACACTCGCGTAAGTGTTTGCATTAAGTCCTTTCAGTCATTTTTGCACTTGAGGTATTTTATGCTGAATGTCAAGGTATTTTTACAACTCAATCAGCTTGATTAATTGGAGAGTTTTGGATCGAACTTGGATGCTGATCTTAAGGGCTTGAGACTTGTGGTGTAGCACTACCAAGGTTAGTCCAGGAAATCCTTTTAATGAGATGCAGGGGAAAGTGCCTGGCAGTTGCTCCGCTCTGCTATTTCCTTTGGCTGAAAGAAATCTGTATATTCTAATGAAAAAGTTGAATTTAGATCTTTAGAAAGCTTTCCTTAGTCACTACATGGAAACAAAAGAAGTGCCTCTTATCACTCTTATTAAGACAAGCAACTGGAAAGTCTGTTAAAGAGAAGATTGAAAACTGGCAACTAGAGCAGATAGCCTGACTACTCACTTCAAAAATATAAAAAGGCATAGTGTTCTGTGATTTAAGTTCTTGAAAGATGCTTTTGTATTAAAATCAAAGCAAAAAGTGATTAAGTATAATATCCTTATAAATGTACCAAATATTATGGTATATTATATCTGCAACAGATAACTGTTGCTCTATTGTTTTAAGTGAAAGCAGAGCATAATATCTGCCTGCTATGCTGTTTTTTGTAGGTTAACCAGTGAAAATGTGGTATTTTAACTCAAGGTTATCATAGTGTGAAAATCTAATATTGTTTCATGCCTGCTTGTGAGTTTTCTTGCTCTCTGTTTGGATGGTTTTCATTTTTCCCCTCATACGTGTTGCTAATCGTACGCAGACGGAGCTTGGTTTCCTCCCATCCAGAGGCGCAAACGCGCTTCAAATCAAATTGAGTGAACGGAGGTTGAGTGCCTCCCCGTGACCACTGGGAGGGAAAAGGTCCATCAGGCCTAGTGACAGCAATTTACCTCCGCACGGCTGCAGTTCCCTCTGATCAACTGGCGCAGCATCTTTAGATTGCCTTTAATGCGGTGAGAGGAGGGAAGCTCTTTGCTTAGATCTGTCAGCGAGATGAGATTTTAAGGTTTTACATGCAGCGCTTGAGCAGAAGCTTAAATTTTTCAGCTCTGCTTTGGCATAGGAAGGTGGTGCTGCAGAACAAATTTAGATTTTATGCAGAGCAATACTTTATAATACACAGAGAGATGTGGAAACTTTTAGGAAAGTTTTAATTGGCCGCTGCTTGACTGTTTGAGGTTATCGAGTGGGATTCTCACTGCAGAAGTGGTTTAAGGGAAGACAAAAGAGAAGTGGACAACTTAACAGAAATAAGACTCACCAGCTGCTTGCTAATTTCTGTTTTCTTCAATCAAAGCTACGTCAGTGGCAGCGTTAAGTCCATGGTAATGCATGTAATTGACGACTGCTCTGCCTTTTTGGGATTGTTGAATGGATTTTGAAAGCCTGAACAGCAGCAGCCCTAATGTCATCATGGATAAACAAGCTGTAATCTTAGTGTTTTTATGAACGTGGTCAAAGCTAAAAGTAATGCACTCTAGCCTGTCAGAAGCATTTTCTTCTGATTTGTTGAGTTTTTCTGCTTCTTGCAAAAAGCAAATGTGCCAGCAGAATCCAGACCAGCATGATTTATTCATCTGTGTGTCACAAATAGAAGCTATTTACCGACTGCCTGCCCATCGCTATTCTGCTCGGCTGTTGTCACCTGACAGCTCAAAACCGAGGTGACAGATAGGTAGGAGATACTTTAGGTTTCTTATGAACCAATTTTTGCACTCAAACGAATGCCATCTACTTTGAAAGCTTTGGCAGAGTTGTTTGCAGTTAGTTATATCAAACTAGTCAGGGTGAACTATTTCATACTGGCAAGAAAGATTTGTTTTTGGAGGGTATGTGGATTTTTTATTTTTTTTTTTTTATTTTTGGCATACAACATGTTGACTAAGTTTTTCAACAGCTTGAGTTTTTTTAAAATAAATGGATCTTAGTCAGTCTCTCGTAGTGCACAGGCTGTCTCTCTGGATTCAGAATGGGTTTTATGAAGTGTTTCCTTCAGCAGATAGTAAAAAAAAGCTAATGCCAATTGCAATAAAAACATAATTAAAGTACAAATTTGGAGGAATTTTTGCTTTTGCTTCTGAAAACATTTCTATAGGGTGTCTTTCTGTTGAGTAGATGGCTAATATATATGGAGTAGATTAAACTGTTTTTATCCCTCTGCAACTAAATTCATTTGGATTTGGTTATATTACCTTTTAAAGTCTTGCAAACTTCAAACCTCTCCTGGACCAAGCATACAAAGGGATTTTTGGCCCAGAAATCTTTATCCAATTTAAATGATGCGACTAAAATGTAGAAATGCAACAGAATTTAACCCAATCCTGTACCTTTGGATTCATGCTGTCATAAATTGTGCAGATACTTTTTAAAAAACACAGCTCTACTACTATTTGACTAAATTTAATTGATCTTTGGGAGGTTGAAGCCAACTTTAATTCTTCACAGAAGTAAGCTGAAGCCCTGAACACCAACCAGATGCTTGTCATTCTGTCCATCTCTTCACTATTTCTGCACAGGGTTGGTTGATGGCAGCATCCCTGAGTAATGCTGTTTGAAATTACTCCACAACGCTGGAGTGTGTTTAGTGGCAAAGGTTTTTTTCCCAAGTCTATGTGTGTCATTGATTAATGTGACATTAGTTTCTCGTGGTATGTGGTCTAATAGCTCACTGTTCATTCATATCCAACTCTAACATTTTACAAATGTTAATGTTTCGATGTGGTCACATGCTAAAACACCTCACTTTAGGGAGAACTTTTCTTTGATTACAAGGTTATTTCCGAGCTGATAGTCATGACAAATACAATGTTGGTTTGTTTTGGAGTTTTTTTGTCCATTGTGGATATCTTCACTCATCTTTAAATAATCTGTCGATGGTTGTTGTGTGTCTTCCAACTTTTATAGTTGACGAGTTCTAGGTCTGTAGTGCTCCTGGCAGCAGGTTGGAGTAGCTCTGTTAAATTTGTTCTGATTTGTTCTTTTTGTAGATTTTTCTTTGTAGTCATTTTGGTCAGAGGCATTGCTTCTTTGGACAATTATTCCCTCTGGTTTTGATGCTGTGCAGCTAAGCGATTGTTGCTCACTGTTTTTTACTCCGACAGTGGTTATGATGCATAACCGTGGCAGCACGATGTTTTTGGTGGGGGGTTTTTTCAAGCCAGAGCAGCTGATTAGCATCTCAAAAGCTCAGATTGTACCGGAACTACAAACCCAAATCCAAGAGGAGTTGAAAAGGAGGCTTCATGGATGCAGAACAGGACCAGAGTGCAGAGAGAGAAGGAGAAAGCTAAGACCATCTCTTCTATTGATCGTTATAGGCAAGACAGCAGAGGGATGTTAAAGAGAAGATTGTAGTCTCCACCATCTCTCTGCCCAGCTTTCTGACCACATGAACAAGCAGAGGTTTTAAGAGGCGTGGCAAAGGCAACTGGGGTGGGTTAGCAGTGATTGCTAATATCTAATAGTGTCAATCAGAACATGTTACTCAGAATATTGTCTTTGCGACCTGGAAATTGAGCTGTTAGCATGCTATGACAGTCATGTGACGGTCATACAGCAACATTTTTCAGTCAGAGGCTTTTATTGATATGTTGAAGGACTGACCGCTACTGGAGATAGCATCACCATCCACAATGAAAGGAGTTATGACAATAACTTGCATTTTCAAGACATTCATCATCTTAAAAAAATTAGTTTAACATTTTAACTAATATTCTATTAGTGATTGAGAGCCACCAAATGCTAAATGTGCTCTCAAAGTTGTAAAAGGGAAATTTTACTGCTTTCTTGGTGGTTGTACACACCACCAGCAAATACAG